TTTTTCAGGGAAATTTTCTGAACAAATACACTGAAGGTTTAACACTGTACCAGGAGTCTCTGCCCTTATTCTTGATGCTATTTATAGCTGCACTTTAATCAGAGCATAATTCTTTGATGTCCTGTCCACAGTCCCTTCCCCTTCTATCAGAAGTTGGATTCAAGTGGAAACTTCAACAAGCTCACCTCTCCCACCTCTTGCATTGAAACCACTGAGATCAGAGTAACTGATTCACTATTGGATTTGGCAACTCTGCCTGCTTCAAGGCACTCAGCCTACAGTTTCCTGTGACTTTTAGCCTAGTGGGAACATGCCCATAATTTAGAAAAGGTATTGCCCTGGGCAGGCCATGGACTGTGAAAAGGGTCCTTGGTGGATCACAGTAAAGTGAAGTAGCCAGAGTAGAAAGGAAAGGTGCTGGGCTCTGTTCACATGACTCATCTCTTGACTCATTCTCTTTGCTGTCCCTCAGCTTTGTGCTATGTAAGGTTCTTACTTTTGTGGTCACACATTTTATATGATGTTTGAAACCACTGCTCACTATGCCCTTCTCAGATGTTGGATATTTCCCATTTCTAATTTGAAAGTAAAATATTTCTTTTGATTGGGTTTTGGGCTACATGTGGAGATAAGAAAGATGACCTATAAGAACAAATAATAGGTGATACCAGTTTTGTCTTGGTTTTACCAATGGCCAATAGGCTGGTTTGTGGAGCCATGATTTTTCTATGAAAGTCATCAGCTAAAACTTCCCACACTAACAGCACAAGAAAAGGGTCTGGAGTAGGGCAAGGAATGCTCCAGAAGCAGCTTAAAAGTCTCAGAATCAACCTTGGCTGGTGTAGCTCAGGGAATTGAGCCCTGGACCTGTGAACCAAAGGGTTGCCAGTTTGATTCCCAATCAGGGCACATGCCTGGGTTGTGGGCAAGGTTCCCAGTAGGGGGCGCGTGAGAGGCAACCACACATTGATGTTTCTCTCCCTCTCTTTATCCCTCCCTTCCCCTCTATACAAAATAAGTAAATAAAATATTTAAAAAAAAGAAGTTTCAGAATCTCTTCTCCAGGATAGTTTGCATTTTCCCAATAATTTATTGTTTCACTGGCTTGGCTGTCTACTGTGCCTCTGTCAGTGTGGCCACCAAGATCTTGCTTCTCTATCTAAAGTCCCTATCCTACTGTGTGTATTAGAGATGGCTAGGCAGTAGTGTGCTGGTTACTGGTTAACAACTAGCTCTCTGAGAGGAAAAAGCCTAGTTTATAGCACTTGCCAATTTCCATAGTGCCATCAATACTACCATCATGGTCAATTTCAAGATATGTCACTGAACATGGAGTTGGGAGATGTGCTGTAGGACGTCATTATATAGTAATTTCGCCATACAGATATGATAAATGGAAATAACCTCTAAAGCACAGAAAATTAAAAAGTAGTGAAATTTCTCGTTGCTAGAAAGTGATGAGTTTTTAATATTATCTTTGCTTTATAACTTATTTAATTGTAAATTTATACAATTTAATTTTTAATGACTGTGCATAACATTTGGCTTGCAAATTCCTTTAAAGATTTAATAACCTCTAGCATACCACTCTGTCTTTGGGTGGGAAAAGAAGGAGAAAAAGTAGAAATGAATGAACACATTTAGTACTAAAGTACCAAAAAGCCTCTATGCCACTCAGACTTCATGATCGATCTTTCTGAGCCTTGGGACCATAGATTCACCGCAATGACAGTTGATATTGGTCAAGAGCCTGGATGTTGGAGATAAACATGCTGGGTTTCAGGCCCAGCTCTATCATTTTCTAGCTGTGTGACCTTAAAAAACTGTCTAACCTCTCTTAGCTTAAGTTTCTCATGGGTACAATGCTTGCTTCATAAGATTGTTACAGGAATCAAATGAGATAACAATATAGTCTAAGTAGTTAGCCCACTAGGTCACTTAGGAAACCCTCAATAAATGGTAGCCATGAGTACTAGTATTTCTAAAATGTCTACAGTAGATGTAGATAGTGATGGGATCTATCGCAGATGTGAGATCATGCAGAGACCGATTTTTAAAGACAATCTTTTTTGTACAGCCTGACCTTCCTTTCTGCAACAACCTTTATGTAGGATTTGCTGCAAGGGCAGAAATGTCCTCTCTACACCTCCTGAAGAAAAATTGTCCTCACAGATGCCTAAAATTCAAATACTGGTAACTTACTTCTTGCTGTTAAGTGCTGCTGCCTCCTTAGGCCTACTTTGAAAATGCAAATCCTCCTTAGAGGATGACCAGTTCCCAGGGCTCTATACAGGACAGACTCCAGGGAATCTAAGAGTGAGGAGCCTGGAGTGGGTGATGGGACACAGAAAAGGGCATGAGGGCACTGAAGACTCCACATGCTGGTTCCCACAAGCCCTCCCTCCACCTCCTCCCTGCTTCCAGATTGACGAGCTCTTTGAGATGAGGTGCCTCTAAAAACAAACCTCTCTCCCTGTTCCCCTTAGTATTCCAGGTCCAAGACCCAGTGGACCCTCAGGCCCACAGTCCACTGATGAGGGGGGAGCATAGTTGAATATTTTGAGTCAGTCTTCCTATTGCAAGAACACCAGTTTTGCAGTTGATGTACTGGACTCTAATTATGGTCCCAACCATTTGATGTGTGATTTTGGGAAGGTCATTTCATGTCTCTGAACCTTAACTTTTCTTAAGTATATTGAGGGCACTGGTGAGGATCAATCTGAGACTCAAATGAGGGAGCCATTTGTGATGATAAAGCTCAACACAACATGCTTTGTTGGTACCAATCTCTGTCCTTATTCATTGTTTTCAGCTGGCTCATTTTTCTTCCATTCTTTACATGTGAATATGGAGAAAAAGATCTTCTTGGCAGTACCACATTTCTATCCTTTATTCTAAAGGTTTCTAACAAACCAAAAATATCAGTTCCTATCTAGGATCCCTTATTTATAATAAAGTCTTGTGAGGAATAACAATAATATGAAAGTTATTCCTAGTTTGGCTTAGGTAATTTGGTACAACAAAAAGGCAGAGGTGATGTTTCTGGGAGCCCCAAGGATCTGTGAACACTATATTCTTATTGAAGTTTTTTTTAAAAATCTGGGCATCTGTGATGCTACACAAATGCTATCAAAGCAGTTGAATACCACAAACTAGAGGAAGAACTGTGGCTTCTAGACAAAACAGACTTACAGGCAAGGAGGTCTTAGGTTCCAGTTAAGGGCTTTGGAATAAAGCAAGGGGCCAGGTGAGCCAGTCTCTCCTAGTACTGACCAACTGGCCTCCACTTGTTCCTGCCTAACTGCATGGTTTGATGAGGGCAGCTGGTTCCCTGGTCGGATATTCTGGCCATGCTGAGAGAAAGGAGGTTGCAACTGGACATTTGCCTCCGTCAGTGACATAATAGTCATTGGCCCCTTTTGGGCTCTAAGAGAAAGAAACCTCAGCCCCAGAGTCTCAGCAAGAATTGTGTGACTAGAGGGGGTTTTATTATTAAATTTTCTATTGACTGGCACCACCCTTTGGTGTTTGGGGTATATGTTGGTGGCACAGGTGGTTAAAGGTCATTAAGGGAAGGGTGTTGTATTTCAGGATTATTTTTGGTGGGGACAAGATTGCTCATGGCCAGCCAGGGCAAGCTGCCTGAAACTAAGTACTCTAAGTACTCACTTTGAAGCTGGCCAGGATTCAGCCAAGGTGGCTGAGGTGAGGAAATGCAGCAGACAGCTGCATTTGGCTGGCAAAAAGCCTGCTCAGTTCTAATGAACCTTATGTAGAGTTTGGGTGCCATGCTTCTGCAGCGACTGGAGAGAAGCCAGGGGGAGAATAAAAACAACAAAAATGAGGCAGAAAATGGCCTATGGGGAAGGCTTACAGGTATTCAGCCTTGAATAGAAGAGACAAAGTTGACTAAACATGATATTTTCTTCAAATATATGAGATTTCCAGAAGATGTTGACAAATTGTCTGACAACTAAATAAGAGAAAGCCATCTATGTAGAAACAATATGGATTTTCATTCACACTGCAACAAGTGATTAATACATACTTGACCATTGATAACATTTGTGTGCTGAATGGGCCCACAGAGTCCATTGAGCAATTAAGGAAAGCAGAATGTAAGGAAAGGAAAGAGGACCCTCCCAGGTTCATGAGAAGCTGGCCAGTCCACTAGTTCAGAGGATGGGGCACAGACTCCAAGGTCCTTGTGTTTGATGGTGAGTGATGATTCTGGTTTATAAGGTACCAAGAGCACAGTGGGTTCTTTGCATGATACAAAAGTGCTCCACAGTAGTGAAAGGATTTATAACTTGATAATAAAACTCTCTGAAGAGAGAACACTCTCCCAGAGATGGGAGATTAATTTTATCCTTCATTTTTTCAGCTGCTTCTCTTTCCCCACATCTTGGCCATCATTTTTTACTACTTACACAAAGGAAAGCAAAGAGATTTTCAAGAAAGCACCAAAAATGTAAAGATTTTGATTCCAGAGCAAGAAAAGATGGCACAGGCTGAAAGCAAGTCCATGGCAGCCTGCCAAAAGACGGTTCAACATGTGTCCACTCCCCTGAGCCCTGGGATTGACCCAGAGGACTCAGTGTGATGTTGCCTCCAGCCCGGTGACCTGGCCTTCCAAGGGGATACCATTCCTCCACATCCAGGAGCACAGCTCTGACCCTGCAGTTCCTCGGAAGGTACCAGAGTGGTTTCCTTCCAACTTGCCTATTCTCACACACTTCAGTTAGTTTGCCTTGAAATGGACCAGAAGGAGAAGGAAGAAATGGTTTGGATTCCAAGTCTCTTTTCAACAGCCTGCTTCGTCGTGGTCTTGGTGGCTTTTGCTCATTTTGGAAGCTGGGGAGAAGGGAATTGGGGGTGATGAGTAATAACCATTTTTACTGAATCTGATTAAAAATGTCTATAAAATTGTTTCAACTAGTCAGGTCAAACATTAATTAAGATCTTTAATCACAGAATGTTTATATAATATAATGCTCAGTGCAGACAAATACTAGATATCATTAAGTACCTGAAACAACAACAAAAAAAAAAAAAGAAAGAAAGGAAAGAAGGGAGGGAAAGGAGGAGAAGAATAAAAAGGAGTCTGGAGTCCTGGGATCTGGAGATCTGAGGGGCACAGGCAGAGTTTCTTGAAGGAGTGGTGGCTGTGTATGAACCTCTGGTGGCCTCTTGCTTCACGTCTTGGCTTCTGAGGAGCAAACCTCTGTCATAGTGATAGTGATTCCTATGGCAAGGTTGCCATTGTCAGAGAAAAGCTGGGCTAGTGAGGTGTTAAGGATGAGGCAGTCCCCATCAGTGATCACTGAGTCCACACACTCAAGGACTGACCGGGGAGTGGCCTCCCATTTAAGACGCCGATGGTTTCTGTTGAGCTCCAGGCAGTAGGTGAAACAGTTAGCCTGGGTGGGGGTCCCAATCAGCATCATGGTGGCAAAGAACTGGGGGTGCCCTTCATATTTCTCCTGTTTCCTAAGCACCAGCAGAAAGTGGTGACCAAGGCAGGAGTGCATGATGGTCCAGTCAGCCGGGGCAGGGAGGTGCATGTCCATGGCCAGAAAGACTATCTCAGCTCCCTGAAGGATATCAACTCTGTGCATCTGCCGCAGGTGGGGCACCACCACCTCCAGGCGGCCTTCCCATTGGCAGGAAAACAAGGGGCACATGCAGGGTGTCACCTGGGTGGCATGTAGTTCTGCCTCCTTGTGGTGGAGGAGGTGAGGGTGGGCGTGGTGGAGGAGATGGTTGTGGGAGCCGTGGTGGCAGTGGTGCTGGCTGAGGTGGTGATGGGTGTAGCTGCCTTGCTCTGGTGCACTGTGAGTGACCACATGACAGCTGGACACATACTGTAGGACAAAGAGAAGAATGTTAGTAGGAGTGAGGTCAGTCTCTCAGCCTGGCTGAGACTCCCTTGGTGTTCAAAGTGTTAAAAGCAGAGTCTCCAGGGCAAGTAGAGAAATCTTTATTTCTTAATAAATGAGAACTGCAGGACTGTTTTCCAAAATGGCAGCACCATTTTACTCTCCCATTAGCCATGTAAGAGGGTTCCAATTTCTGCACATCCTTGCCAACATTTGTTATTATCTGTTTTGACAAATATTTTTGAGACAAAATTGTTTAGAATGCTTTGCCAAATTTAGATGCTGAATAATTGCAAGTCCTTTCTATGTCATTTCATTTCAGTATAGAACCTAAATCTACCCAATTAAAAACAGGAGCTCCTTCAAATGATTCCTTTTAGAAGAAGAGATTTTCCAAATATAATGGAATTTTTTTTTAAAGTCTAAAAAGAAAAATAAGGGATACAATGAATGCTTTAGGTGGTTGAGGTTCTGAAAACTCAGTCCAAGAAAATGTAATATTTGTGCCTTTTTGATTCTTTAATAAGATACTCAAGCAAAGGGCCAATTTCCCCCTGAACATGCAGTGTGATGGTCATTAGTTGCAAAGAACTAAAATTTTTTTTGATACTGTTGATATTTATGTGCAAGCACTGGAGGTCAATGAATTATTCCCCACCCCCATTTTATCATTGCTATCATTATTTTTAAAACAAAATTTTAATAAGTGCACATTTGTTCTTCCATTTCTTCCAGGGGTTGTGCTATTTTAGTTGTTCTTCTCATGGATTCTAAGGAAACTGGTGGAACACAGAGCTGGTTATATACTATTGGGCCAAGGTTCCCAGAGAGGAAGCCTCACCTGGGACTCCTGGGACATTGCCCACTAGGCACACTTCTGCTCTGTTCCAGGCTCACTGCTCTGAAGCAGCTTCCCAGGATCTCACCCCCAGGCAGCCCTCACCCAGAGACTCTCCTGTCTTTTTTTCCACATAGCAGTGTCTCCACAAATGCCCTCAAAAACACTAGGAGCTGTGATGACACCTTGTGAACAAGCATCACTAAACATTTATTGAGCACCTTCTATGGCCAGAACTGTTGTGCGTGGGTCACCGGCCAGCAGTGACCACAGAACGCTGTGGATGGCTCGACGATAAACACGCAAGAAAAAACACGCATGCACAGAGACAAACTAGTTTCTGTGGGGAAGTAGGGACGAAATGGCCACTCCCCCCAGTGGGGAGCGCGCTGATTTACTGTCCATACCTGCTTTTATTAGGCTCATTTTGCATAATAATTCAGGTAAAGTACAGTACTCATTAGGGGGAAGTAAGGAACTATAGAAAACAAAGAACTCTGCCAGTCTATTGAGTCGGGGTCAAAGAGCTGTAAGACTGAGGAACAAAATAACTTCCTCCTAAGACCCTTCTCATTCAACTGAGAGCATTCTAAACAAAGAAGGTTTCACAGTAATTTACATATTCTTTCTTAGGCCTGATCACCCTGGGGAATCTGCGCTTCTCAGTACAGAGCTGCACCACCCTGTCATTGTTTCAGGCTTAGGTGGAGCAAGGGAACTAAGGCCACTGAGAGATAAGGAGATTTTTTCCCAGACGCTGAGAACTCAGGCTATGTCAAAGCCGAGGAGTGAGGGTCCATCACCCCCTTTTGCTGCAGCCCCCCAAGTCCTTCTTTTGGGGGGCCTCCCAAAGTGATCGTGCCTGTCTTAGGTCGTTCCCCCCGTGGGGAATCTTACCTGTCTTTGGCTAACCGATCAAGCTTTTTGGGGTTCAGTTATGAATAAAGCAGCAGAAGCAGCATTCCTGCCAGGAAGATAAGCTTTTGTCTCCTTGCTGGCTTACAGTTCCAAGGGTGTTCCCTTAGCCTTAGCTAGGCGGGGGTTTCAGCCTCTGATACCAGTCAGGGCGGTTCCCAACACAGAACCTGCAGGTGCTAGGAGTACAGCCATGAACAAAATAAACATCACATTGCTTGGTGTGAGAAGTACAGACACTAGTATACACATAATTAATTGTGGTTTTTACAAGGGTCCTCTATCCACAAGAGTCAGGTGAGGCGTTTCTTTCACACTCACCCTGACTTGCTGCCAGAGTTTCTATCTCCCTGGGCTCAGAATGTGGCTAACAGCTGAGGCCTGGCTAGCTTCCTTCTCATCAGTGCATGCAACAGACAGGCACAAATACACACCCAGTGTGTTGGGAAGTCACCCTGGTGGTGGAGGTGACCTGTAGGCAAGTGGAGCCAATGTTGGTTCTGCTCTCTGGATCGCAGCTGCTGGATGGTCTGCTGTCACCCAACCTGCACACTCATCAGGACCATGAAGGAACATGCTGTGCCTGAGAATCCTGCTAACACTTACCTGTTAGTGTTAAATACAGGGAAGGGATGCTGCACTACCACGCAGCATCTACTAAGTGTTAGGCACTGTGGAAAGTGGGCATTTTTTGCATAATTATTTCATTTAATTTTCCACAGAAAAGACAAATATCCTTCTTAGAAGAAATAAAATTAAATCTAGCTTAGTTCTGCCAGACTGAGGAAGACAAATACCATATCACTTACAAGGAATCTGAAGAACAAAATAAGCAAACAAAATTGAAGCAGACTTATAGATACAGAGGGAGGCAGGGAAAAATAAGGTGATGGGATTAAGAAGTACTAAATGGTACTTCTAAATGGTTACAAAATAGATGTGGGGATGTAAGGTAAACCATAGGAAATATAGTTAACAATATCATAATAACTATCTATAGAGCCAGGTGAGCACTTTAATTACTAAAATTCTATGTAATTACTAATTACTAAAATTACTAAAAATATATTTTTGCCAATCTGACAAAAATAGTTATAATTTTGATTTATTTACATCAGGTGCCTAATGTGTTGGCTGTCATCATTTTTTCATTTGGCAATGTAAAGGAAAAGAAGTCAGTGCACCTGACTGAGTAGTCAGGTATTGCACACTTTAAAAATTCTTGTGGCACACCAGTTGAAAATCATTGACCTATATGAATGTCTATTTTATGTGTTGTACACCTGAAACTAATCCAAAATAGTGTTGAATGCAAACTGTAAGAGAAATATAATAAGATAAAGAATCTGGCTTAGTTCCCACCTGCCTGCTGGTGGTATGTATCATTTAGTCAATGAGTGAGGGTGGGGTGGGGGAGTTCCTCTTATTCATTGGGATTGTACAAGCCCAGGGCTCTCACACTCAATCAGCCAGGTGTGAGGGCCTCCTCCCAGGTACTTCCACCAGTTTCAGGTTCTGTAGAAGGTCAATCTCTTCTGCTGAGCTCAAGAGGATCTGGTCTTGGCTTCTCATGAAAAGTTCTAAACATTGTTCCCTCTCCCGGCCTCTGAAAGCCCCTCTCTCTTACTTAGTCTTTATAACAATCACAAAAGGAATACACTGTGTTTGCTTTATTGATGAAGGAACTGAAGAGAGAAGTTGAGTCACTTGACCAAGCACAGATTATAAGAGGTGTACCTGGGAATGGAGCCCAGAGCAGTTAAAGGTGACATATATCATAGACCGGAAAGATCACAGCCTGGATGTCAGCAGACTCTGGTGTGTTTCACACTTTACTTGTCCAGCAGTATGATTAAGTCAGTTTCCCCATCAGCAAAATATTTATCTCAAAGGATTATTAGGGAATACAATGCAACAATTCCTGACAAAAAGCTTTAAAAACACATCAAGTATTATATCAAGATGGCATTTCCACTTAGATGTGCTTTTGGGTAAAGACTTTGCAGGCTTCTGCCCCAGTCCATGCCTACTTGTGTCTATCCTGGTCAGCTGACTTTTGCACCTGGGTGGTAATCTTAGTCTGGGCTGAACACAGGCCACCGTGAGGGTCTGGAGACCCCAACATTGCACTTTACTTGGGGCCTCCTGTCACAAAGCTGACTATGATGACAAACATTCTGAAATTCCCATCTCAGAAGCAGTCTCTGGGCAAGTTATTTTCAACATGCCCTTTTCCACATCTTTTTTTTTTTTATCTTCTCCACCTTGTTCTGTGTAGCTAATATCAGCGGTGTGAAATCAAAGCCAAGGGAGAGTCTGGAAGAAATGCCTTGATCTCCCTTTCTTCCTTGCCTCCAAACTCTTGCCAGGGTCTCCCATTAGCTAAACCCAATTAGCCCAGGATTGACTCAGCAAGGGTCAGTTCCCTTTGGAAGGGGTACTAGGTGAGGCACACAGGTGAAGAGGGAAAGCCCACCTGTATGCAACTGTCTCTATTCCTTCCTCTGTGATGTTTGCTGAACTGACCATACTGGTCCTCCTAGGCTGAGATTTGACATGGCTAATTGGTGTGGGAAGGGTAGATCTATGTCTACAATTTATTAAGTCTTTGACAAACATATGTGTTCCACCTACCATGTACAAGGGGCTGAGAATGCTGAGCAGAGTAAGATCCTTGTTCATGACTTGGTAGCTCACTGCAATTATATATAATATAATAGAATGCAAAAATGCAGGATACAGTAAGGGCTCTGACAGTACAAATGGGGGAGATAGCTATTCTAGTCAGTGCAAAGTAACATTTACACTGGGCAAAGCATGATGGGTGAATGCTCTAACAGAATAGGCAAAAGATTTACCAACAAGATGAATAGCAGGTTATAAAGAGCTAGGTGTAAAAGAACATGGTACAGTTAAGAAATAATAAGTTCCAAGTGCCTGGTAGATGGAGAGCTTGGTAGGGATGGAAAAGAGGTGGGCCATGGTGCTGGAGAACAGTAACACACAGTGCCCAAGACTTGTGAGCTAAGCCAAGGCACTAAGGTGGCACCCAGTCCTTAGTGGAAGTTGGTGGGAGGGCCCAAGAGATAGAACCTCATGCTTTAGGGAGCAGCTGTGGGCAGGACCAACAGAGTCTGTTCTAAGCTGGTGCTCAGGATGGGGCCAGCCACCAAGTCCCCACACTAATCTAACTATTGGACCTTAGCAATGGTCATTGCACTTAGACTCTCCC